GCGGAGCGGGGGCGTCTGGCGGGAGGCAGCGGCAAAGCGAGGCATGAAAGCCGGGTAAGTTCTCCATTTAAAAATATTAAAGCTTGACCCTCCGGCTCCGTAGCGCTGCCGGGTGAGTCATTTCCAAACCAAGTGACTCGGTCTAACCCTTCCCCCCAGGAGACACAATAATTCTGAAACCGGGGCTGAAGGCGGAGCGGGGGCGTCTGGCGGGAGGCAGCGGCAAAGCGAGGCATGAAAGCCGGGTAAGTTCTCCATTTAAAAATATTAAAGCTTGACCCTCCGGCTCCGTAGCGCTGCCGGGTGAGTCATTTCCAAACCAAGTGACTCGGTCTAACCCTTCCCCCCAGGAGACACAATAATTCTGAAACCGGGGCTGAAGGGAAAGAAGCACGTAGCCGCTGCAAGAGGAGGCAGAAGCCGCGAGTAGCAGGCTGCCTGCTTAAAGGAGCGAAGCGTAGCTCCATCCCTTTGCCGCTTCCCCGCGGCGATGCCACCCCGCCAAGCACCAGAGCCCCAGGAGTATTTACAGCGCTTTCCGTTTTCGTGGACATCATCTACTTTTCGGATCCCCCAGCTGCCAAACCCATCCCCTGCCACCTCCTCCTCTGCGGGCCGGGCGCGGCCGTGCGAGGTGCCAGCAGGGACCCCGGGCAGCACAGCTCCTGGCCGGCTCTGCTGGAAGGAACAGTCCGGAGCACAGTTGGGTTTTTTTCCTGCCTTTTGCAGTCATATGATGATTTGTTCATGTAAGCGGGCTGCCTCGACTGGAGCGACTTTTTCTTTGTCAGCAACAAGTGCTGGGTGCATTTATAAGCGATGCTGCAGTTTTGTGATGTGAAAGGTTTCAGTTACGCGGAACCCGTTGGTACCTGGACCTGTGTGCAAGGGCCGTTCACAGCCTGCAGTATAGCTCTGTGTTTGCGTGTTTCATGTGCACACCCATAGACCTTCTCGCGTGGGGAGGCAGCATGCATGGCACACAGAAGCTGAGGTGGTTTTTTCCAAAAGCGGTGCTGCCGTCCAGCCATGCAGTAGTGCCTCGTGGTGTAGGTAGATCAGCAGAGGCAAGGCATTGGGCTTCAGGACTTTCCTGAAGCTAGGAAACCACCTAGCTAGGGGTAAAATCCACCTAAAAAGGGCTAAAATCCTGTCCTCTGACCCTTGTGAAGAACTTTGTTAGCATTTTGGCAACAAAGAATGAGCTATAGCTGAAAATATGTGCAGCAAGTTATGCCAGCTATTTTACAGCTGTGTGAAGGATGGTGGGTTTGAGAACGTGATCTGTGGTAGCAATCCAAATCTAATGGCACTTCTGTCTAGGTAAGTGGAGAATCGTGATGTAAAAGCACTCACGTTCTTTTCTTGCTGTTTAGATTCAGTTTCTCCTATTAAAGCTATGTATGTCTTTTACAGCCAAGAGAGACTGTTGTGATTGATTGACTTGTCACGTAGGGTGTCGAGTGCCGAGAGATTCGCACAGGTTTGTGACTTTTAGCTGTGACATGCTGCCAAAGTACTGAACTAGAAAACGAAAATACGGTTCTCCTGTGTTCCGAAACACAAGAAAAAGCAGACTTCACCTCCCAAGTCAATGAAAATTTCACAGTAGTCTCAGGCAATGTACGCTCTTGGTACAGGTTCACAGAACATATGGCATTCTTGCTGGGATTTCAGTGCCATGGACTTCTCTAGCATATAGGAGGGAGGAAAGTTCTTAGACTTGAGTCAAAAAACAGCTGCTTTTTGGTGAAGCTAGGAAGACACTTTTCCAGAGGCGGATTATTCTGTGGTTGTCTGTGATGGGGGTATCCTGAATCTCTGGTTGAAGGTACTGTCAGATCAGGTGATGTGCCTTGCACTGGGTTCTGGTGCCTTGCACTGAGTTCTGCAGGGGTGGTACATGCCAGCTGGCAGTGCCCGGGGCAGGGCAGTCAAGCGCACTCAAGCCTCTGTGGGAGTCTTTTTTGCAATGTCAGTTTTATAGCAATATTTCCTTTTGGCAGTTTTACAGCAGAGTTAAGGTGACAGTTTCGGGTTTGTCTTCAGCCTTCAAGATAAAATTCTTTGTGATTATCTTTATGCAGTGTGTTTATGGGCTGTCCGATGTTAGCTGAGGCTGATAAGACTTCCAATGTTCGCTTTCAAAGTTCAGCTGCAACACAGGTAGTGTTTACTGACTTCTCAGTCCCTTTTGGAAGAATTTTCAGCAACCAAAGACACAGAATAGGTGAGATATTTAACCTTTTATTTGAGAAATAAATCAATGCAGCTTCCATTCTTATGGAA